AGGGAGCCCGATGCGGGACTCGATCCCGGGACTCCAGGATCATGACCTGAGCCGAAGGCAGTCGCTTAACCAACTGAGCCATCCAGGCGCCCAGTAGTGCTCTTTTTTAATGGAGTCTTTGGTTTTGGTTAAAATTTCAACTTTAATTTATTGGTTATACAGATCTTCCTTGACTTAGAATGAGGTTACATCCCAGTAAACCCATCATAAGTTGAAACTATCATAAGCTGAAAATGCATGTAGTACACTTAATTTGCCAAACATCATAGTTTAACTTCACCTACCTTAAACGTGCTTAGAGCCCTTATGTCAGCCTCTAGTTGGGCAAAATCATACACAAAGCCTATTTTATAATAAAGTGCTGAATATCTCATGTAATCTGTACTGAAAGTGAAAACCAGAACAGATATATGAGTGCAGTATGGTTTTAAGTGTATCATTTGTTCACCCTTGTGATAGCATAGATGACTAGGAGCTGCAGGTGCTGCTTGCCTCTGCAGCATCTTGGGAGTATCGTCCTGCACATCGCAAGCTCAGGAAAAGATACAAATTCAAAATACAATTTCTACTGAAAGCATATTGCTTTTACAGCATCATAAAGTCCAAAAATCTTAAGGTGAACCATTGTAAGTCAGCGACTGTCTGTAATTTAATAATAAAGTTTGTATTTGTAAATTATAAATCAACCAGTAGACATATATGGAGAGTGTTCCAACTTTTTTTACTTATGGGGTGCATAAACAAAAAAGATTTGAAAGCACACAGATTTAAGCTGTAAGAGAATCCCTGAGGAAGCATAATTAATAAAAAACAAAGCAGCAAAGGTTAAGAAGATAGGTAGCTTGAATTATACTTCAGTCTGTTCTTTTACATCAAAATAGCTTTCTCTTGAAATTTCTAAAATAAACTAGATGGAATTTAGTGTATGGATGCATTTTATTTAGATTTCATAGACCTTGGGCAAATGAAGTCTATAACATAGTGACTTCTATAAGAATAAATGAAAAAAAATTAGCCACATGCACCTACCTAATTTTTGTGTTCTCATTTTTCATATACCCTATGCATTTGCATAAAATAACAGAATTCTCTAGAGCCACATATTATTCATATGGGACAAGATTGATATAGAATACTTTCATTTTGATTTTTAAGAGCATAGTTATATCATGTTTTCAATAAAGAAAAGACCAGTAATCCATTTCCTTCGAATTGTGGTTTCAGGGACCCATGAGGAGAGAATTCAACAAAGAATCTGATCTGATTAAGCAGAGTAATTGCTGGAATTTACACCTGTTTCAGATTTAGGTCAAGTCATAATATTAAATTTAGCTGATGAAAGACTTTTTTTTAAAGATTTTTATTTATTTATTTATTTTAGAGATACAGAGGCGGAGAGCATAAGCAGGGGGCGGGGGGCAGAGGGAGAGGCAGAGAGAGAATCCCAAGCAGACTCCATTCTGAGCATAGAGCCTGACATGGGGCTCAATCCCAGGACCCCGAGATCATGACCTGAGCTGAAACCAAGAGTCGGACGCTTAACTGACTGAGCCACCCAGGTGCCCCTGGAGGACAGATTCTTGAATTAATATTTTGCTTATTCAAAACAATTTTTTATTTGACTTTTAAATTCTCTTGTAGGTCTTTCGCCCTTATGCGAAGTACTGGCTAAGTCCCTTGCTGCAGCTGGTAGTTTCTGAAAATAACGGAGGAGAAGGAATTCACTATATGGTGGTTGAGATAGTGGTTACTGTTCTTTCATGGACAGGATTAGCTACTCCTGTGGTAAGAATGGATACATCTTTTATGCAGTACTATATATCAGTCTCTTGCTGATATAAATGGAATTTATGACAAGCTTCTCTTAATGACAAGAGTCATCATTTTTAGCATTAACTGTCATATTGCTGTGGTGCTGCTATATTAAATGGCCTCATACTGCTTTAGTTCTCTTTTCTTTTGTGTCTGCTTTTGATAATTCCTCTGACTTTGCTTTTATTTTTAAGCTATCAGGTGTTTTTTGTTTGTTGCTTTTCTCGGAGCTTGGAAACTAGATAACTGATTTATTAAAAATACGTGTGAAATAAATGTCAGTAGGCCCTGAATATGAGGTCCTGAAAAATTCTGCTAAAACTAATGTCCATAGATTTTTTGGCATTTGTTTTGCCAGCTTACCTACTTCCCTAATATTTTCTCTAGCCCATTAATGGTTGAGATTGCCAAAGAAAAGTGAGTACCAGGTGAATGATACTGTGTCATACTGAGGCAGTCTTGTGGCTTCCCCCAGTACAGATTCGTGTGTGCTGGAGCTTTGCCCATCACTTAAAAACTTTAGCACAAAAGGTTTCATGTAACCTGGGAACATTCCTTAATAAACATAATATATGGACATAGAGTTTTTACATGTGTCTATATCTGGATGCGCCTGTCTTATTTCACAGTAAACCGAATTTAGATTTCTTAGCTTTAATGTGACAAAATAATTTGTACTCTGCTAATACATGAAAAAATTGTGAGAGTGTATAGTTTAACTTAGGAACCATTGGGAAAGATTGAGTTCAATGTCAGGTGCTTGGCTGAGCTTGAGAAACTGAACTGCTAGGTGTCAGAATAGCTGCATAAAGCAACAGTGAGTCAAAGTGAGAATCAAGTGAAGCCTTTAATCATTTATTGTGGTAGTACAAGCAAGAGGCTAAAGCCAGAGGAAGCGTTGACTCCCCTTGTCTGTTTCCCCCATGGAACATTACAACATGGTCTGGTCTGATCGAGGTTCAGGTGGATTAGCACAGATCTGAGTGACATCTTACTGTTGAGGGAGCCCTGAATTAAAGGCTCAGCAGTTTTATGGGACCCTGGAGTTGAGAGGAGGGTGAGGGGGAAGGGATGGGAGTGGAAAAGCCCTGAGGACTGAATCAGCGAAGGGAAAAGTGTTCTCAGAGTTGCCCTTCCTCCCTATAAGGAGGTCCCAGCAGAGACCCCTAAAGAAGATAAAGAGACCAAGGAATGAAGGTGCCTGGGCTAGGAATGCAAACATGTGACACAGCATGACCATTCTGGGGGTTGCAGGTCATGGATGGCTAGGGGTCTAACTGCAGCTACCCTTGGAGACTGCAGAGCACTGGCTGTGTTCCAGCCTGGTGCATGAGGTTAGCTTGCCCATGAGGCCTGCCAAGTAAAGCCTTTTTCACTGCCTGTGGTTGGAACTGAAAAATCACCCATAGGCTTTTCATCAGAATCCGGAAGCCTCAGTAGACTGGCGGATTTCTTTTATAAATGGACTTTTGGATTCAAAAAATGCTTTTCTAAGCATTCCATGCTCATGGATTGGAAGAACAAATATTGTTAAAATGTCTATACTACCCAAAGCAGTCTCCACATTTAATGCAATCTCTATTGCATTAAACAATGCCAACAGTCCTAAAGTTCGTATGGAACCACAAAAGACCCCAAATAGCCAAGGCACTTCTGAAAAAGAAAAACAAAACTGGAGGCATCACAATCATGGACTTCAAGCTCTTTTACAAAGCTGTAATCATCAAGAGTATGGTATTAGCACAAAAACAGACACATAGATCAATGGAATAGAATAAAGAACCCAGGGCGCCTGGGTGGCTCACTTGGTTAAGCAACTGCCTTCGGCTCAGGTCATGATCCTGGAGTCCCTGGATCGAGTCCCACATCGGGCTCCCTGCTCGGCGAGGAGCCTGCTTCTCCAACCCTCCCCCCTCTCATGTACTCTCTCTCTCTCATTCTCGCTCTCTCAAATAAATAAATAAATCTTTAAAAAAAAAAAAAAAAGAATAAAGAACCCAAAAATGGACCTTCAAATCTATGGTCAACCAATCTTCGACAAAGCAGGAAAGAATATCCAATGGAAAAAAGTCTCTTCAACAAATGGTGTTGGGAAAATTGGACAGCCACATGCAGAAGAATGAAACTGGATCACTTTCTTACACTATACACAGAAATAAATTCAAAATGGATGGAAGACCTTAATGTGAAACCGGAAACCATCAAAATCCTAGAGGAGAACACAGGCAGGAACCTCTTTGTCCTCCGCTGTAGCAGCCTCTTACTAGATACATCACCACAGGCAAGGGTGGGACCTCATCAAGATAAAAAGTTCTGCACAGTGAAGGAAACAATCAACAAAACTAAAAGGCAGCCTGTGGAATGGGAGAAGATATTTGCAAACAACTTATCTGATAAAGGACTAATATCCAAAATCTACAAAAAACTTATAAAACTCAACGCCCAAAAACAAATAACCCAGTTAAGAAATGGGCAGAAGACATGAGTAGACACTTTTCCAAAGAAGACATTCAGATGGCCAACAGACACTTGAAAAGATGCTCAACAACACTCATCATTAGGGATATACAAATCAAAACCACTACAAGATACCACCTCACACCAGTCAGAAGGGCTAAAATTAACAACTCAGGAAACAGATGTTGGCGAGGATGCAGAGAAAGAAGAACCTCTTAGTGTTGGTGGGAATGCAAAGTAGTGCAGCCACTCTGGAGAACAGCATGGAGGTTCCTCAAAGAGCTGAAAATAGAGCTACCCTATAATCCAGCAGTTGCACTACTAGGTATTTACCCAAAGGATATAAAAATACAGGTTTGAAGGGATACATGCACTCCAATGTTCATAGCAGCATTATCAATAGTAGCCAAACTATGGAGAGAGCCCAAATGTCCATCGCCTGATGAATGGATTGAGATACATATATACAATGGAATATTACTCAGCCATCAAAAAGAATGAAAACCTGCCATTTGCAACAGCATGGATGGAGCTAGAGTGTATTATGCTAAATGAAATAAGTCAGTCAGAGATAGGCAAATACCGTATAACTCATATGTGGGTTTTAAGAAACAAAAGATTAACATATGCAAAGGGGGAAAAGAAAAAAGGAGAGAGGGAAACAAGCCATAAGAGACTTTAACTATAGAAAAGAAACTGAAGGTTGACAGTGAGAGGTGGGTAGGGGATGGGCCACATGGGTGATGGGTATTAAGGAGGGCAGTTTCATGATGAGGACTGGATGTTGTTCGTAACTGATTGATTAATCACTGAATTCTACTCCAGAAACCAATATTGCACTGTATGTTCACTACCTAAAATTTAAATTTAAAAAAATGCTTTTGCTAAGTGAAATAAGTCAATCAAAGAAAGACAATTATCATATGGTTTCACTCATATGTGGAACGTAAGGTATAGTGCAGAGGACCACAGGGGAAGGGAGGGGAAACTGAATGGGAAGAAATCAGAGAGGGAGACAAACCATGAAGGACTCTGGGAAACAAACTGAGGGTTACAGAAGGTAGGGGGGTGGGGGGATGGGTAACAGAATGACAGGTATTAAGGAGGGCATGTGTGGTGATGAGCACTGGGTGTTATACACAACTAATGAATCGTTGAACACTACATCAAAAACCAATGATGTATTATATGTTGGCTAATTTGAACATAATACAAAAATATAACAAAAAATATTTTTAAAAAGTGCTTTTCCAGAATGGAATACTGCATATTAATACAGAGTTTCTGTACGTTTTTAGGGTGTCCCTAAAGACGAAGTGTTGGCAAACCGATTGCTTCATTTCCTAATGGAACATGTTTTTCATCAAAAAAGAGCTGTGTTTAGACATAACCTTGAAATTATAAAAACCCTTGTTGAATGCTGGAAGGATTGTTTATCTATCCCTTACAGGTATAAATTTACTAGATTTTGCAATATCATTTATACATTTTTAAAATGTAGCATGTTTAAATGGTGATTACAGTGAAATTTCATTACTTGAAATGATAGAAAAAGGAAGATAATTTGAAATCAAATCATTTGTAAGGGTGTAATATTGCTACTAGTAAAATTACAACCTCTAAAGTTTGATACTAGAAGCACCTGTGGACAGGTTACTCCAGGTGGCCCCTGTTCCATCTCCCAGCTCGCCTCTGGCTTTGCTCACACACTGGGGTTATGGGGTGCCCTCTCTGCCTTTCACTGTCCCAGCCCAGGGGTAGACTGTAAGACTTTCCTTTGATTCCTTTTAGCACAGCCTGAGGCAAGCTAAAACTTTCTTAAGGTTTCAGTATCAACTAAGGGAGAATTGGGGCAAAATTAGATCGTAAGAAATACAGACCTGTCCGTGTTGCACAGCTAGAATAACTTGAATGCATACAAAGAGGGTATTAACAAGAAGGGCGTTAGATGTAGGGAAAGACAAAATATTTCTTACCCTGAAAATTAGCCATCGAAAATTTTATATCTTCTTGCTGCTTATTTTACTGTATGATAACCTATACTTGTTCTTTATGCTTATGTTTCAGGTTAATATTTGAGAAATTTTCCAGTAAAGATCCTAATTCTAAAGACAATTCAGTAGGAATTCAATTATTAGGCATTGTAATGGCCAATAATTTGCCTCCTTATGACCCAGAATGTGGCATAGAGAGCATAAAGTGAGTATCGAGGAGTTTTGGCTTTGCTTCTTTTTTAGGTTAAAGTATAGATGAATTGGATTGACGGACTGGAGTGTGGTCTAATTTTGATAAATGTAAGGACCTAGACCCATGTTAAAAATATTTCTACCAAAATTTAGGTAGTTGGGCTTAGAGGTCATTTGGGAGAAGAAATATGTTAATGGAGTGAATGAGGAAAGTTATGTTTTTCAAAATTAGTGTAATTTTTTTCAAGTGTGATTTAGCAAATAGGAAGTGTTAGGTATTTCCTAAAGTCACATTTTCAGCATTTGCTCTGAAAGCGACATGAACTCTGTGGACCATTCATGACCGGATCATGACCTGAAATGGATGCCTGGACGTTGTGCTGCCCTGTCGCTGTACTTCTACTGTAGCTGCAGCCCCTGCTCCCTCTGCGGGTGGGGGTGGATGCCGCCCAATGTCTGGAGGGGGGTGCTGCTAGTAAGATAATCCTGTACCATCATGGAATGGAACTTCATTGTCCTACTATTTCAGGATTTTTGAAAAGTCAGCATTCACATCATGAGCTTTTCCCATTACTTTGGAAGTGTCCCACTCTGGTTGGTCCTCCTGTGTTAGCCTCCTGGCACCAGTTGCACCAATCACCTGGTATCATAGACAGACATGTGGCTCCGCACAGATTTAATGGGAAATAGTTTACTTTTAGACAAATTACCATTTTTGAGCTTTGATTCCCCCAATGACAGCCAAACTTGAGGCTAACGTGATGTGGCCTCTGGAGTCTGGGGGCACTGCACTGGTACTCACTCTCATTTTATTGTCCTCCTCTTGTCATAGCAGATGGCTTTCAAGGGTTGTCAGTAAATCATGATATTGGATAGTAGCTTTCTTTTTACTACAGTTTTTATAGCATCCAGCACTGTGTTTTGCTTTGACTACAGCAGGTCCCCTGTGATTGAACTGTGGACTTTAATGTGCCTTCCAGGTCATGATGTCAGAGCCTTAAGTACATCTTCATATATGTTTTCACACAAATAATTTCAGTCATGTTTTATGTTTCATATTTTCTCAATTTGTGCTATTAATGTGGTATGAGGAGCAAAGTTGTTATATTTTTATGTCAATAGAATGTAGTATTGTGCATGTTTATTTTCTGTATTTGTTACAGATACTTTCAAGCTTTGGTCAGTAATATGTCCTTTGTAAAATATAAAGAGGTATATGCAGCAGCAGCAGAAGTTCTAGGACTTACTCTTCGATATATTACCAAGGAAGAAAATGTGAGTGTGTTATACAATTTTAAATAAATACTTCTTTTTCAGTTTTGATTTATCATAACCCTCGTTACTTATATCCTCTATAAGATAATAAACCAAAGTGGGCATTCTGCATTTATTAATACTCCACTCTTCCCTACTGTATACAGTGCTCAGGGGTTTTTTTAGATTTTATTTATTTATTTGTCAAAGATCAAGAGAACACACACAATCAAGGGGAGTGGCAGGCAGAGGGAGAAGCAGCCTCCCCGCTGAGCAAGGAGCCCGATGTGGGACTCAATCCCAGGACCCTGGAATCATGATGTGGGTCAAAGCCAGACACTTGACCGACTGAGCCAGCCAGGCATCCCCAGTGCTCAGTATTTTTTAAAGAGGACATAAGATTTTTTTAAACACTTGGAAACTTGGTAAACATTTAAAGATTGGTAACTTTTTATTGTGAAAGTCAGGATATGAGTCCTTAACCAGCTTTCATTCCTCTGAAGGTAGTGTCAGGATTTCCTTTTGGAGAAAATTATTCTGTTAGATACCTGCTGTGGTTAGTTAGGGCTAAGTTAACTAGTAAAATCCCCCACTTCCATTTTGGGACATAATATAGCTGTCAGACAGGACAGGGCACCTCAGGGAGCTTTCTCAGTCGTGTGTGCCCTGCCCACTTTACAAGATTGTGAGAATAACCTAACTGAATCTTTTAGTGCAATATACATTCAGAGTACTGCAGTCCTCAATAGAATGTAATTATTACAAATGTATGTAAATTTCATGGGCCAGTGTATGGAAATTACATGTTCTAACTTACTTGAAAAAAGCATAGTGGAACGATGCTTACTGCTACATCTCATGATGCTTACTGTCCTCCCATGGTTAGTAAGTGAGGTGCTGCATGTTTTGGAGCCTCCAAAACTACTGTCACTCATTGTGATAAGCCACTCTTGCCACGTCTCATTGCAGTCTGTCCAGGATGACACAGTTGATCATTCCTGCTGATTACCTTTGTCATTGCTTCTAGGACACTCTCTCGGCTCTCTTCCAACTTCCCTGGGAGTTTCTTCTCCCTTCTTTAGTGCCGTGTTTCCTGGCCACCTCCCTAGCTCTGATAATTGGTCCTCTTCTCCTTCCCTGCTCCCCTGTCAACCATCCAGCTTGTGTTTGAAAACTGCCTCTGTGTTCATGATTCTCAACTTCATACCTCCAGTCCCCATCCTCTCCTGAAGGAAAAGGTGGAGAGTGGGCTACTTTCACTCTCTGGCTGGATGAGGAGAAGTTTAGGCAAGTCGGGAGGTCCTGAGGGCAACCACAATATCCCAACACAGTGAATTGGACCCCTGCCCATTTTGCTAGTCAGGCATTTATTTGTATTTAAAAGAAAATTAAGGGAAATAGACCCATTTAGGGAGATCAGTCTTCACTTATAATTTATTTTAGGGATTACCAGCTATTTTTGTAAAATAAAATTTATAAATTCAGAATAACCTTGTTATTATTACATGATTCTAATGTCCCTAGATGTTGGGTTTCAGTTTATATAATATGCTAAGTTTTCAGTACAGATGGAGCAAATTATAGCAGATCCCAGGTTTAATCTCTCTTCACTTAAATTTCAAGTTAGTAAGAATGATAAACAGTTTTGTTTTACATAGTTCTTTTCTGAATATAAAATGGTATTGATTTAGTGTAGAAATTAGAAAAACAGAGTAAAATATAAAGAAGTCAGTGAGAGTCACTTATATTCTAACCACGGAATTGCTTTTGGCCCGTGAGATGTAGTCTCCAGTCATCAGTACGTATGTGCATGCACTTGTCTTCTGTTGTTCACCTATATTGAATTCTTTTATAATTTTGGTTATGTATGTTGGGTACTTACTGGCTGGCTCTGGGCTCTAGGGGTGCAGCCAAGGAACAGGGCAGGCCAAGCCCCTCCCTGCCTCAGGTAGATAGCATTTGGTGAGGGGAGATAGACAATACACAAACGAATCTATCATGGTTGATAGTAGTATGTGATGAAGAAAAAACAGGATATAGGGAGATAGTGAGGGGTTGGTTGTTTAGATAAAGTTGCATGAACATTCTGATTTATGTGAATATTTGACCAGAGATGTGAACACTGGCGTCATAAAATGTGTTTACACAGCATTTAGTCACTGATTTTAGTTCAGCTTCTCAAATACTCGTTAGCAGTAATCTTTATCAACCTGCCATCTGACAGGCGCTAGACGCCACCAGTGGTAGAAGCACAAAGCAGGCGTGGCCGTGGCCTGGCTCACCCAAACGCACAGCCCCACGGCCTCTTGTGCCCAGTGTTTATGCCAACCTGGGCATGCTCCTGGCACTATACCCTGTGAACACCTTTACCTTGTAGGTGATAGTATTCAACACCTTCCTTGGGTTCACTTAACTATTCAAGACAAACCTATTTTCAGTAACCAACAGAAGTTTCCACCTTTGTGAATTTGAAAAAAACTTACTTTTTCAGGTATTGGAGGAGTTGGTGTATGAACTGATCATAAAGCAGTTGAAGCAACATCAGAATACGATGGAAGACAAATTTATTGTGTGCTTGAACAAAGCAGTGAAGAACTTTCCTCCTCTTGCTGATAGGTAAGATGTCAGTTGTGGTGGATGTCCTGTTGCGGGAGAGGGTCTGCAACTGCCCTCTTACTCATTGGCCATGTCCACTGTTTAGGTTTATGAACACCGTCTTCTTCCTGCTGCCAAAATTTCATGGCGTGATGAAGACCCTCTGTCTGGAGGTGGTGCTGTGTCGTGCAGAGGAAATAACAGATCTCTACTTACAATTAAAGAGCAAGGATTTCATTCAAGTCATGAGACACAGGTAAGTGTGAAGCTAGCCCTATATTCTCAGAGGCAGCTGGCTCATAAAATTTTGATTTGTTCAGCTTTCTCCTTCAACTCAGAAAGAACTTGTAGGTTTTCATAAAATATATATTTGTTAAATTTTAATCAGAATTAAAGGTGGTGGGACCTGACCCTCCTGCCTCTGCTAACCTGGCACTTTGGAGAAGCCACATCTCAAGCATTGTCTAAGGCTCTTCTCAGATTTAAAATGCATGGTTTTGAGTTCTGTACCCATTTTGCCAACTAGGAGGCTTCCATTATTTGTTAAAAGTGTTCATTTATTTTCACATTATACTATTAAAATAAATATTAAAAGATGCTTTGATCACTTACAGTATTTTTATTTCTCTGTATTTATTTCTCTCTTCTTTTCCAGTCTTGTCTGTATACATATTTTTTTTTTAAAGATTTTATTTATTTATTTGACAGAGACACTGCGAGAGAAGGAGGAACACAAGCAGGGGGAGTGGGAGAGGGAGAAGCAGGCTTCCCACTGAGCAGGGAGGGTCATGACCCGAGCCAAAGGCAGACGCTTAACGACTGAGCCACCCAAGCGCCCCAGTGTATACGTATTTTTTACATAGGGACAAATTATTGATAAATGCCAATAACAAAGAATCTATGTTGTTACATTGTAATATCCTTCATTAGAAAATTATTCAGGGGCGCCTGGGTGGCTCAGTTGGTTAAGCGACTGCCTTCGGCTCAGGTCATGATCCTGGAGTCCCGGGATCGAGTCCCGCATCGGGCTCCCTGCTCAGCGGGGGTCTGCTTCTCCCTCTGACCCTCTTCCCTCTCGTGCTCTCTGTCTCTCATTCTCTCTCTCTCAAATAAATAAATAAATAATAAATAAATAAAATTATTCAGTATCTACTGTGTGTAAAGCATTAAGTTGGGTGCTTCAAGGAAGAAAAGATACATAAAAACAGGTGTACACAGTCGGGGCCCAGACTACCCTAACTTGCTTCTGACCTGCCAGGTGGCCTGACTAGCACTTGAAATCATTTTTTCAAAATGTGAGATCCTTTATATTTAGTTTATTTTGTTTGACATTTCAGGTTTTTTAAAATATGCTTTTATTTTAGAATAACTGTATATTTATAGAAAATTTGAAAGATAATACACAAAGTTCCCACATACCCTTCATCCAGTTTTTCTATGTCACATATCGTGGTACATTTGTCAAAACTAAGAAATTAACATCAGTAAATTAATGTTAACTAAACTAGATTTTATTTGGCTTTTACCAGTTTTCCCACTAATGTTCCTTTTTCTATTCCAGGATCCAATCCAGGATACCACAATGAATTAATTTAGTCATTTTTAATATTCTAGCTCATGATAATTTTTTAAGATATCAGTTTTATGTTTCCGTTGTAACAAATTTTGAAATACAGAAAAGCACAAAGAAAATGTTACCTGTCATATCTGAAAGTATAATAAAAGTTGTTAAATTTGTGTGTTTTAAAAAATCTCTCTTGTTACAGAGACGATGAAAGACAGAAAGTGTGTTTGGACATAATTTATATGATGAAGGCAAAATTGAAACCAACAGAACTCCGAGAACTTCTGAATCCTGTTGTAGAATTCATTTCTCATCCTTCTCCAGTGTGTAGGGAACAAATGTATAATATTCTAATGTGGGTTCATGACAATTACCGGTAAGGTGTACATGAACTTTCTTTTTTTTTAAGATGGGGTTGGTGGTAGAGGGGCAGAGGGAGAGGGAGAGTGAGAATCTTAAGCAGACACCACACTCAGCATGGAGCCCAACATGGGGCTCAATCTCACGATCCTGAGATCATGACCTGAGCCAAAATCAAGAGTTGGACACTTTACCGACTGAGCTACTCAGGCACCCCACTACATTAACATTTTATATTACTATTTTTAAGGGAGCATTTGGGTGCTTATAGCAGTCTGGAACAGATTATAATAATAAAACATTTTTAAACATGATTAATAATTAAAACAAGTTTATTTTAGTATATTGACATGTATCCTTATTTTAACTCCTTTTATGTACCTGTGGGATTTCAGAATGTGCAGTTACTGGTTGAGTTAGTTAATAGTGTAATTTGTTTTTATAGTTATCCCTTTAAAATTTACAAAATTAAGGAAATGATCTCTGTGGGATGTTTTCATCCTACAGGACTTCCATCACACCACTTCCCGTAGGGTGTGAGCCTGTCCTAGGACCTCTTAGCATTCCCAGGGAGCCCTCTGCAGCCCTCCTCCCATTACCACTCTGCCCCATGCACCTGAGCCCTATCACATTGCAGGTAGAGCTGTGACAGGCACTTGGATAGGCTTGCAGAGGCACCAAAGAAGGGTGTCAGGGTACATACTCATGAGGGTAGGTTCTGCTGTGATTTGGGAAGTTAAAGTACCATGGGAAAAGATTATTTTTTAATTCTGGATGGTGTTATCGGGATTGCACAAAAGTGATAGACAATATTAATGTTTTGTCATTTTGTTATTTTTTCTCAGAGATCCAGAAAGTCAAGCAGATGATGAGTCTCGGGAAGTATTTAAGTTGGCAAAAGATGTGTTGATTCAAGGGTTGATCGATGAGAACGCTGGGCTTCAGTATGTGCTTCTCCTGGAATAATTGGGCCAGGACAAATAAAGTTAGGGATATTTCTTCCTAGATTTGCACTGAGTATTTTTCAGCAGTTTTAGAATTATATTTATAGTATTAGCACTTTCTTTGCTTTCTCCATTCATAGTGTTTAATAAACCACATTAAGACTTAAAAATCCTGACAAGTTATTTTAATATAAAAGTCTTACAAAAGTGGTATGAATAAAGCTTTCTCTGCTCATGCAGTGAATCAGTGTCTCAAAATGAAAAAATCTGTAATGACGATTACTATGTTTCTCATTTAACTCAAATAGTTGAGATCACACTATACGTATTAATATTGAGTGAAATGTTTGAAACTTTAGAAATAAGAGAAAACTATAATATTGACTATATGGGGAAGTATAAATGATGATTATTTTCTTTCGGGTTTGGCCAGCAAACCCTGAGATGGTGAATGAAAGGATTTCTCCCAACACCTTCGTAGGAGAAAGGGGAGGCCTGGGGGCCAGACGCTCGAGTGGCGAAAGGCCTTGAGCCAAGCTCAGTCTCCGCTTTTATCATGAGTTTAACTAATACACCATGTGCAAGGCAAGGAGTTCGTGAAGTATGTGACCACTACAGGTGCCTGTATTTTAAACCCACACCCTGGATGAGACCCTTGAGCTCAGTAAGAATCCGGCTGCGTTCAGCCAAGAAACTTCAGAGGAGGCCCAGCATCCGGGTACTCCTCCTTTGATTTTCAATTAGTCTTATCCAGGGAGGCATATTCAAGTCAGGTTTTATCTATCCAGGCACTGTGAATCCTCAGTTTTCCTCTAAAATGCCAACCGTGTTAGTTTTATGAATGTTTTATTAAGTACTAATTATATAAGAAGGGACATAAACTTTTTGTATGGTTCTATATTTCAATTTTCCATTCTGCCACAATTTTAAACTCATTTTGCTTTTCAGAAATGCATTTGCATTTCATAAGCATTCATAAATTGTAAAACCTAACCTGTATTTTTCTTTAGCGGGGGGAAGGACAGAGGGGGAGAGAGAGAGTCTTAAGAGAGAGAGGATCACACTGTGTGGAGCCCAATGTGGGCTTTGATCTCACAACCCTGAGATCATGACCTGAAATCAAGAGTCAGACTCTTCATCACCTGAGCCACCCAGGCGCCCCGAGCCTAACCTGGTTTTTGTTTTTTGTTTTTTTTAAGATTTTATTTATTTATTTGACGGAGAGAGACACAGCGAGAGAGGGAACACAAGCAGAAGGAGTGGGAGAGGGAGAAGCAGGCTTCCCGCGGAGCAGGGAGCCCGATGCGGGGCTAGATCCCAGGACCCTGGGATCATGACCTGACCCGAAGGCAGACGCTTAAGGACTGAGCCACCCAGGTGCCCCCCCAACCTGGCTTTTAACTGGTTTAAGTTTTGAATATTTTATGGCACTAATTTTTGGAGTGAATTGTTTTAGCAAGGCAGTGAAGGAATACATATTTCTTAAGGTGTTTTCTCGGTTTCCAAATAGTTCATATTATATACTCATTGAAAACTTCCCAGACAGTAGAGATGAGAATAACATCATCCAGTTTTTCACCTCTTGTTAAATATGTTAAGGTTTTGGAATATTCCCTTCCTTCAGTGCATATTATTGTTCATAACTCAGATTAAACTCTTTATACAATTTTGGGTGTGGTTTTCCTCTGTGTTAAGCTTTATAGAGATGACAAACTGCCTTCTCCACATGACACTGTGTATAGGACATTCTTTCTTATTTGCCAGTATCTGAGAAATATGCTTCTTTCCTCTCTGCTTTTCAGATTAATTATTCGAAATTTCTGGAGCCATGAGACTAGATTACCTTCCAATATCTTGGACCGATTGTTGGCACTAAATTCCTTATATTCTCCGAAGATAGAAATGCACTTTTTAAGTTTAGCAACAGATTTTCTGCTTGAAATGACCAGCATGAGCCCAGATTATCCAAACCCTGTGTTTGAGCATCCTCTGTCAGAATGTGAATTTCAGGTGAAGTACTTATCTCTGTAATAATAAATTTTATAAGCTTTTCCTGTCTTTTAGTCAACAAACATTTTCTAATAGAGTTAAACTAGCTGTCTTTTATTGAAATATAAATGACGTATGACATATTAGTTTCAGGTGTACAACATGATTTGATATTTGTTTGTATTGTGAGATGATCACCACAGTAACCCTGGTTAACATCCATCACCACATAGTTACAAATATTTTATCCTTGTGATGAGAACTTTTAACATCTACTCTCTTAGCAACTTTCAAATATATAATACAGTATTATTAACTATAGTCACCGTGCTACACATTCTATCTCCATGACTTATTTATTTTTTAACTGGAAGTTTGTACCTTTTGACCCCCTTCACCCATGTCCCCTTCCCCCCATCCTCTGCCTCTGGCAATCACCAGTCTGTTCTCTATATCTATCAGTTCACTTTTTTTTTGTTTTGATGTTGTTGTTTAGATTCCACATGTGAGATCATGTGGTATTCGCCTTTCTCTGTCTGAAATATTTCACTTAGCATAATGCCCTCAAGGTCCATCCATGTTGTCACAGATGGCAAATTTCCTTCTTTTTTATGATTCAATAATAGTCCATTGTATATGTGTGTATATGTGTACACACACATACACATCACATTATCTTTATCCATTCATCCATCGATGGATACTAAGGTTACTTCAACGTCTTGGTTACTTTGAATAACGCTGCAGTGAGCATAGAGGTACATATATCTTTTTGAGTTAGTGTTTTGTTTCCTTTGGATAAATACCCAGAAGTAGAATAGCTGGATCATTTCTTTTTTTAATTTTTTGAGGACCTCTATACTGTTTTCCTTAGTGTTTGCACCAATTTATATTCCCACCAACAGTGTATAAGGGTTTCCTCTTCTCCACGTCCTCACCAACACTTGTCATTTCTTATCTTTTTTATCATAGCCACCTGACAGATGAGAGGTGATATCCCATTGTGATTTTGTTTTGTGTTTCCCTGATGATTAGTGATACTGGGCTTCTTATTTTACTTGGAATACTCAACACATTCCTTTCTGAAACACATTTGCTTCAGCCTCATCTGCTCACACTCTTCATATGCTCACACTTGTCCCCCTTTCAGCCTCCACTTAGATTTTCCTTTCTCCATAATGCCATTCTCCTTCCTCATCAGTCTCCCCATCAATTTGGTAGATACCGAGTTTGCATTTTCTCCTGGCAGGCTTAACAACCTGTGATGATTTACATATATGGACGTGCTCACTTCATCTCTGCCAACCTGGGCAGCAGAGCCTGACTGTTTTGCTTGCACTTGTCCTAGTGACTTTCCTAGTGTCGAGCACATGGTAGGACTTTGGAAGGAGTTGAGCCCTTTAGCTTGTTACTGTTGTGGTGCCATTATTGAGGTGGCATTAAGCCATTTAATGCAAAATGTGAAGGAGGAGAAATACGGTTTTTCTCCCCCAGTACTAATCAGTATTTCTAGTTGGCAAATAATTATTTAGTTAAAATTTTTAAATTCAGAAAGGTGGTTCTTCAGCTGCTTCCCACAGAGATACATGAAATTATAGTACATATTTGCTGATAGTAGCAATGGATTTTAATAAAAATATTTCAGTGTTGCTAAAGAAGGACCATTATTTCACTTGGAGCTCTCTTACGTGCAGGAATATACCATTGATTCTGACTGGCGTTTCCGAAGTACTGTTCTCACTCCAATGTTTATTGAGACTCAAGCCTCCCAAAGTGCTCTCCAGGCCCGGACCCAGGAGGGATCCCTCCCAGCTCAAGGGGTGATGGCTAAGCAGATACGGGCCACCCAACAACAGTATGACTTCACACCTACACAAACTGCAGGTAACTGTCCACCTGAACACCTGCCTGCTCTGCACCAGGCAATATGATCTGTGGAAGTGGCCTCTACTGCAAGAACATTGACTGTAAGAGAAGTGAAACAATAATAGTAAAAAGTGGTAAGAACCACAGAAAAGATACATCAGTCAAAGGAGAAAAGCATTGGGGTTCCAAGAGTCATCAAATTCTTAGAGTTGGAAGGGGGAGGGCTGAGGAGGAGTGATGGGGAGCTGGTGTTTAAAGGATATGGAGTTTCTGTTTAAGAAGATGGAAGGTGCTCTGGAGGTGAATTGAGGCGATGGTTGCCCAACTGTGTGACACCATAGTACTGTACACTTTAAATGGTTAAAATAGTTAATTTGGTGTTCTCTAAATTTTCGGTAAAAAAAACAAAGGGATTATTTTTGACTAGGAAAAACAAAAGTTACAGTACATGTATGTTTTATTTTGGTTTTGTCCAGAAAAATCCATTTAGTGCATCATATTTAAAATCCCTTATCTCAAAAGCAAAGTACTGAAGAGCTAAACCAAAATCATTTACTGTGTTTATAGTTTATTAAACTTTTCTTTTTTAAATCATTCACCTATTTCCTTTGATCAGAGAAGTACAAGTTGTGGAGTAAAACACCTAAATCATTTCATATAAGCATTTCAAATGTTTTTCCCTTAAATGAATTTTTTCATGTTCCATTGGTTCTAGAAGTACGAATGATTTGAATAATTACCATAGATATTTTATGACATTATATTAGAAGTCATGAATCTTTAGTACCTTATAGTAGATACAAAGTATCATTCCTATAATGATCACAGTGGCTTGAAAGGAGTGCATGGGGTGTTTCCTGCTTCACAAATGAGGACACTGAGGCTCAGACACCTAAGCTTCCTTGGGTTGCTCACTAGTAACCTGAGAGAGCTTCTGCCCAGTGTCTTTCTGCTGTGACGTGGCTGTCTCCCTGGAGGAGCTGTCCCCAGTGACTATGGCAGGTGAGCCCGTGGAGGCCCCAGGTGCCACCAGGATGATACATCCCTTGTCGCTCACAGTGTGTCTGGCAGTTGGCACTGCTCCAGATGCAGTGCTGGGGTGGTATGGGCTTGGCAGGGTTGTGCAGTGCTGAGCATGCTGTGACATGCTCTGGTCATGCCTGTTTGTAGATGGCAGAAGCTCCTTTAATTGGCTAACTGGGAGCAGTATTGACCCACTGGTGGATTATACAGTCTCCTCATCATTGGATTCCTCATCTTCCTCCTTGCTGTTTGTCCACAAGAGGAGTGAAAAGTTACAGAGAGCACCCTTGAAGTCAGTGGGACCTGATTTTGGGAAAAAAAGGCTGGGCCTTCCAGGAGATGAGGTGGATAACAAAGCAAAAGGTAAAGTAAGCTTGCTGAAATATACTTAAAATAAGTTAATGCAGAAGATTAGATAAAGTACATTTCTGACTGCATTCACGTTTCCTTATAACCTGTGAATAAGCCAATTAAAATTTAATTCGGGGGCTCTGGGATGGCTCAGTCAATAGAGAATGCAACTCTTAATCTTGGGGTCATGAGTTCGAGCCCCATGTTGGGGGTAGAGTTTACTTAAAAAAATAATAAAATTTAATTCAGTAAATGTTGTTTGGGCACTTACCACGTTGAAAGCCTAGTTTGAGGTGTTCCAGAAAAGCTACTGAGTAAATTGGACTCAGTCCATTCATTTAGTGACTTTCTGAACATCAGGGCTTGGTAAGTAAACAGGTAGGTGACCTTGAGATGAGGCAGAATTAGTAAGTCTCAGAGAGAGAGAATGAGAGAGTGCCAGGAAGACCTGGGGAAGAGGCCGCCTTTGGGACTAACCTTGGGAGCTAGGGGTGTGGGAAGGGGGAGGGTAAACAAGGACTGAGGCAGGAAGTGTGGAGCATGTTTGGGAAGGGGAGGGGACCCAGATCAGCTTAAGATTGTTTAAGGACTGGCAGGCCTTGTAGAAGTCTAGCCTGTGGGACAAGCCCACTGGGAGCATAGAGCAGACAGCTAGGGATGTGGGCCTGCAGCTATAGGAGGCAACCAAGGCTTTCTGTAGTGAACCAAGCAGACAGGCAGGGTTCTCTGGATGACCTCTTGGAGGGGGTCTACATGGAGCAGCATGTGGGGTGCCTGAAGAGGCCCTGGAGGCCAAGGCCACAGGCACCCCCACCCCACCACACACCCAGGGTCCTGGTGGGGAAGATGAGGGGAGATGTGTCACAGGGGCTGCAGGGAAGTGCTAGCAGAGCTCTAAGACCCAATACTGGCTGAAAAGCAACTCAGCTTTTTATGAGAGTGGCAGCTCTGGGAGTGAGTCAAAGCCCAGAGGAAGAAAACGGAGAGAGAGAAAAGGTCCCAACACAGAGCCTTGGGGAAATGCCAACCATATGAATTTAGATATAAAGAAATAAAAATAGGAGCAAGGATAAATTCCTTTTATTTTTTTTTCTTTTTAAGTTTTTTATTTTAATCGCAGTATAGTTAACATACATTGTTATATTAGTTTCAGATGTACAGTAACATAGTGATTCAACAATTCTATACATCATTACTCAGTGATCATGATAAGTGTACCCTTAATCCACTTCCCTTACTTCACTCATCCTCCCACCCACCTCCCCTCAGATATGCTTTATTTTATTTATTTTTTAAGATTTTTTTAAGTAATCTCTATACCCAACATGGAGCTCAAACTCACAACCCCAAGATCAAGAGTTGCACACTCTACTGACAGAGCCAGCCAGGTGCCCCTGATACCCTTTATTTTAAATGAGTAAGGGTAAATTCCTTTAGGAACTAAACACATACATGAAATACTTTCCTCATTTCCAACCACTCTTTTTCACATTTATGTTGCAGATCTGTGGCCATACATAATTTTGTGAATTAATGTAGGTGAGGTAAATCTAGCTTGCTTTCTCTCACCACTCTGGGTTTAAGGGGGCTAATGAGCCCCCTCCTGCTCTGTCTGTTCTGCTCCCTGCTTGCTTGCCTCCCACCAGTCTTCTTTCTTTTATATCCTCTTCCTCTGCTGTTCCTCTGCCAGACTGTCATCCAACCAGAGTGCATAGTTCTCTTGTCGTTCTGTAACTGACGATGAAAGTCCCGAAGTTAAAATGCAGTCCCAGAATGACTATATTACTTTCCCGTGACTCATGAAGTATCTTGCTCACCTCAAACCCATGGCACATATATCTTCCCACAGAATTGTTGAGGTGTGCATTTGGGGCAGCCTGAAGTTCAGTTAATGCTTGATGATTGCCCATGACCCACTCTTCTGAATGGGGAAGAGGCTCAGAAAACAGAGGGAACTGGCTGAGGATGGCAGCATAGTCCACAACTCAAACTGTTGAGCAGTTTTTCCCTGTCTTTATTGACCTTGTATAGAAATTAAGGAGGATAAGAGGTAAAACCTAATTTTTAAACCATTTTCCTTAAAAGTTTTATATATGAATTTGAAAAAACTCATAGAACTGAGTAAGCAAAATGAATACTGTCAGCTATCCATTTTAATTGGATTAATATATTTGAATCTCCCCTTGTACCTTTGTAGATACAAAATATTTCCCATACTGTCTGTCTTCTTTGGGGTTTATGTATTTTCTTGCCTAAAGAGGAATATTTGGAAGTTCATAAAATTTGGTAAATTAATCCTTACTATGATACTATTTATTATTGACATTTAAAAATGAAATTGTAGGGCGCCTGGGTGGCTCAGTTGGTTAGG